TACGTACAGTGGACTATTTTGCAATGTTAAAGAACAACGAGGAATCCAAGGACCACTTTGCAATGTGAATAAAACTGGAGGGCATTACGCTGTGTGAAACAGTCAATCACAAAAGGCCAAGTACTGTATGAGGACACCAAGGGTTACATACAGAAAAAAAAAATTAATGGTGACCAGGGATGGGAGGGAAGGAAAGGGAAAATCACTGACCAGATAGTTAACAGACACACATCAATCCAGCTGAAAGGGAAGGCAATGTACAATATGGTATGACCCACACAGCATCACTAAAGAAAAGAAGGCTCAGAGGGGTATGCAAAAGTTACAGACAGCAAAGATAAATACCATTATGTACAAATCCTGCATTATCAGAAATAATAAACAATAATCTAGAAATGAAAACAGGCAGATAGGCAAATTGAATAGGCATGGGTAGGCAAAAGAGACCACACGCATAATCACAAATAGGTTTGGCAGGTGATATTTCCATAAACATGTTTACATGTGCTATAAACATATCCATGTTTCTACAAGAGCAAACAGGGGCAAAGGCCTGTAAACCATAACCACGCATCTGGAGGGAATGAGTCAGTGGGCCTGGAGGCTGGGGACCATAGTTAGGGAGTTGTGATTGCTAGGTTTGTGTCAACCTGACTAGGTCAGGTTCTCAGTGGTTTAGCAGCTTTAAGGCCTAGTAATCCCCCATGATGTGATTTATTAACCCCAGAATGGGATCTGCTGTGAACAGATTAGGGTAAGAATACAACCCCTTTATTCAGGTCACAGACCGGATGCAATTGAAAGGAGGTTTCCTTGAGGACGTGGGCTATTTCCTACAAAAGGAAGGTTCTTTGGATCTAAGCCAAAGGCCTGCCATATTGTATGCCAATCCCAGGAGCCGTGGATTCATTAGCCTCTCCAGTCACAACCTGACCTGCTGAGCTTGGACTCATCTGCCTTTGCAGCTTGATACCAGCCCAATGTTTCTGCTGATCTGGGGTTCGTTAGCCCATGAAGCTACACAAAGCAGCTACACACACACACACACACACACACACACACACACACACACACACACACGCTTCTCTAGAAAACCAGCGTAACAAAGAATTAACAGAGTCAAGTGGTGTAACATAATTCACAGACAATGTTCTATAGTCTACTTACATTGTAATGACTAGGATCTTAAATCTTGTGAGCAGCCATCTATGGTACTACTATTGGTTTCTACCCATTCAAAAAAAAGAATAGGAGCGAGAATTAAAAATATGCAAAAAAAATGTAAGACAAAGATAAAGGGAGGGAGGGAAAAAGAGAGTGAGATTGAGAGATTTACATAAAGAAATGGCTCATCAGGCCTGTGTTGTTATTAGGTGCCACGAGTCAGCTCTGACCCACAGCGATCCACTTATACAGCTGTAGAAGTGGGCTTGCCAAAATCGAGGCAGGCTCCAAGTGTGCGGGTCAGTTGTTAGACTGGAGACGGCTTCTGAACCTCATAGCTGAGGGGCTAATTCACTCAAGATCAGCAGGAAGATGAGGCTGGTGGGTGCAGAGGCAAATGAATCCCGAGTCAGCAGGTCACAAGGCAGGCCAAAGGCCCAAGTCGAAAGAACCAGAGGTTGATGAGCCAGATAGATGCATGATCCAGGCCCAGCAAAAAGCAAGCAACTGTTGGACAGTGTCCACTTATACTGAAGCAGCCCCACTCTCGAGGAAATTGCCTTTCAATTGCGTCAGGGTTGTGACCTGAATGAGACCCTAATCTTCTTACCACTGATTGGCTGTTCACTGCAGATCCAGTTGAGACATTGTGTTAGGTCACCCCACGGAGGGTTAGTAAGTCTGTCCCACCAAAACACTGAGAATTCTGGCCCGGCCAAGTTGACACGAAACATTACTATCAGACCCATGTTTATTGCAGTATTATTCACAATAGTAAAAAGATGTCTGTCATGGGATGGATGGATAAACAAACTATGTATTGCACACACTCAATGCAAGATTAAAGAAAACTATATGTGACCTCCTCCCTGAGGGACGGACAACCGAAAAGTGGGCGAAGGGAGACGTCGGACAGGGCAAGATATGAAAAATAATAATTTATAAATTATCAAGGGCTCCTGAGGGAGGGGCGAGCGGGGAGGGAGGGGAATAATGAGGACCTAATGCCGGGGGCTTAAGTGGGGAGGAAATATTTTGAGAATGATGAGGGCAATGAATGTACAAATATGCTTTACACAATTGACGTAGGTATGGATTGTGATAAGAGTTGTATGAGTCTCTAATAAAACGATTGAAAAAAAAAAAAAGAAAGAAAGAAAACCAGTGATTCCCCCAAATACTTTATAGCATGGATGAGCCTGGAGGACATTATGCTGAGTGAAGCATATCAGTCACAAAAGGGCAAATATTGCATGAGACCACCATTATAGTGAAGAAAAGATTTACACGCAGAAAGGACCATTCTGTAATGGATAACAGGGATGTAATCAGATATATACTACGGAATACAGGGAAAGGCAATCAATGAGATGGGAGAGGGCAGCATAACATGGCCTCTGGTGAAGAAACTTACTAGGAGGTCAAGAGTGAACCCAACAAAGGCAAACCCAGGGGCACACATAACCCTGAAATAATAATAACAAACAACACCGATGCGTATACAAGGGGGCTTCAAAATCGCTGTGGAGAAATAGAATCAAAAGATAATGGGATGCTCCCACAAACTTTTTGGAGCCCCATTACATAGGCTTAACAGAGGATATTCTACATAAGTACTTGTATGTGATGCAAATATTACAGAGTATAAGGGTCCATGTCCTGTAATGCTTTGCCGTAACCAAACATCACAAGGGAATGAGTCACTAGGCTTGGGGAGGTAGGACTCGTTTTTGGAGGATGGCTAGGCCAATTGGTATGACATCATTCACAAAGACAATGCTCTACATCCTATTTTGGTGAGTAGGTGCTTAGTCTTAAAGCAGTGGTTCTCAACCTTCTAATGCCGCGACCCTTTCATACAGTTCCTTATGTTGTGGTGACCACCCCAACCATAAAATTATTTTTGTTGCTATTTCATCACTGTCATGTTGCTACTGTTATGAATCGGGCGACCCCTGTGAAAGGGTTGTTCGACCCCCAAAGGGGTCAGGACCCACAGATTTGAGAACCGCTGTCTTAACGGCTCATGAATGGCTTTCTAAGGTGAAACTGTTGATCTTGCCTCGTCTAGAACAAGGAGAGTGAAGAAAATAAAGTACTCAAGGGAATGATTCGTTCAAAGGGCTAATGAACCACAGCCTCCACTCCCCTGAGACTAGAAACTACTGTATGGTGCCTGGCTTCCACACTGACTGCTCTAATTAGGATTGCAACCGAAGGTCCTGGATAGAGAGGATAAAAAAAATGCAGAACAAAATTCAAAATAATAAAAAAGATCAGCTTCCCTCAGAGCGGCTAGTGGGTTTGAACCACTGACTTTGCAGTCAGCAGATCAATACTATTCCACAGAACCACCAGAAGAGTGCCTCTGTAACATCTTGGGGGCTGCACTATGGCCTGCTGACCCCTGAGCAAGGTACCGTCTGCCCCAGAACCTTCAGGCCAACTCTGCAGCCCTGATGCAGTCAAAGTCTGCAGATGACACCACTATTCAGAGAGATGGTCATTTATGCTCAGCACTGGGGGGTCAGCTGGGCCATAGGTGCACCTGGCCAGGCTGGGCTGGCAGGTGAGCGTCAACCACATATTTCATCTGAGGAGGGCAGGAGCTGCAAGGGTGGAAGGAGAGCAGATTCCTCTCCATCTCACCTGGGGGCCGGTTAAGGGAGGGTGAGGGCCGAACCCGAGCCCCTGGAAGAAAAGCAGCATCAGAGGAGGGTATACACTAAAAGAAGAATCCCTGAGGCAAGGAAGTAGGATAAGGCCTTGGTGGTCATTCCAGGGGAGAGCCCGGTGGAGCTCACAAAAGGGTGGGGAGGAAGTGAGAGTGGGAGATGGAAGTAACAAGGCTGTGCCACAGCTGTCCTCCTGGGCACACTCTCATCTTAGATTCTGCGCCCGATGCTCTGCCAGACATGGGGCGCCCAGGACCCGGCCATTCTTGTGTGAGGAGGAGGGTGCCCTCTTTGTAGAGAACAAAATTCTCAGGACTGAAATCTCGGGGCCTCCGCCCAGCCTCACCTAGGAATCAATAGCATTGCTGGCTCAGAGCCAGCTGGAGCCCGACCAGTGCTGGGAAGCCCACCTCCACCACCCACAAGGGCCCAACCCTGGGAACTCGCCACGAGGAGTAATGAGGTTTGGACAGCATGTTTCCATTGTTCCCCTGCCCCGCCTGATCAACAGCAGCAGGCATGACTCCCACTCAGAGCAGTATAAATAGACGGTGGGTGGGTAGGGTCCAAGGGGAGAAGGAAGCTCAAGGGCTTCAGGACCTTGCATAAGCTCACAGGTGCTAGACAGGTGTCCCCACCCCCTCAGGCCTATATCTAGTGAGAGCCACCTTGCCCAGGACAGCTGGTGGTCTAGACCTCCCCATCATCCCTCTGGTCCTTACCACTTTTTGCTCCCTGGCATGCCCTATAGCCATCAACCCCCACATCCTCATCTCTTGGGGCTGAAGACTGGCCTTGTTGACTGGGCCAGGGTGGGTGCCAGGATCCCACAGAGAGAATGGGGGCCAAGCCTGGACCATCCAAAGTTCAGGGAGGCCACTGACCCAGCTGGCTTTTGCTTAGGGGCTAACCACTGCCTTTCGAAATGGGCTTGTGTGGGAGGCCTGGCTACTGTACTCACCAGGCTCGGCGGACAGGTAAGTGAGGCAGGGGCAGCTTAGGGAAGCAGGTGCCTGTAATGGACTGGCAGAATGAACTCTGGCCCATTGGCCACTCTGAGCAGGAGCTCCGTGTGTGAGACAGGTCTAGACCAGATGCCTTCCTACCGCTTATTGCCCCCGAGCTAGAGAGAGGGCGGCAAGGAGAGGGCAGAGGGCTCACCCGCTCCACGAGGCCATGCTTGTGCTTCAGCTTATACACCTGCAGCCTGGGCAGGAAGCTCTCGGGGTAGTTCTTGTCCTCCAGCCCGTGCAGCAGGATGCCATGGAAGGCCAGCCGGCAGGTGTTTGCATGAATGTCCGCATCAAGCCTGGAGCCGATCACCAGGCAGAGCCGAGGGCAGGTGATGGGCTTCTCGAACTCCATGAGGGCCCACTGCTGTCGGGGACAGGGGGTCTCGGGGGCCTGGCCCGCCTGCTGGTTGGCCTCCCCACCGTCTGCTGGCTCCAGGCCCTTACACAGGAACTGCTCCTGGAAGAGGTACTCTCGAGAGAAGTCGAATGAATCCAGCGTGGGCTCCTGGTTGAAGTGGTCGGGAGCAGGGCTGAAGAACATCAGCCTGCCCATGACTGTCTCATGGCCCACGGTGATGTGAAACTTGGCCTTGGTCTGCAGAGGCCCCCGGAAGTACGGGATCTTCTCCAGGGAGACGAGGGCCGCATGGATGGTGTGCAGGGATTCAGGGGCACACACCAGCCCTCGCTCCAGCAGCTTGGGGTCAAACTGGGTCACGCATATACCCAGTCGGTCTCCCTGCATGGCTGAGGTGACAGGCAGGTGGAACATCTGCATTGACTTCACCTTCTTCACCACCTGAAGGGACAAGAGAGGAGAGAGGTGGGAAACCGGTCACAGAAAGTCCCCTCGGCACACCTGCCAAGAGGAGCTCTGGGGTAGGCCCAGTAAGATCCCTTCGTATGGAGTAAGTTCCCCCTGAAAACCCAAAGGGAGCTTCTCCTCGCAGGGCCCATGCAAGGCTGGCCCTCCTTCTCTGAGTGCCCGGCACAATCTGGCATAAGGGCAGTGGTCATAGCAACTCAATGCTGGTCCATCTTAGTCCTCACCATCTTCTATTCCCTAGGTTTGGCCCCGACCCCTGTGCATGGCAGGCCCCAATCCCACCAGAGCTCTCTATTTCCATGGGCCATTCTGGCCTTCTCTGGATTCTAGCACCCAAGATACGTTGGTTCACGTGCACAGGACGAGTTCCTAGTCCCCAACCTGACAAACTATGGCCGTCCGTCCTCCACAGTCCAGATCCCCTTCACTGCTCTGGACAGCTGGTGGCAGTTCGCCACTGTCATTAGGGGACCTCCGCCCCAGTTGCACACCTGCTGCTGTCTGATCTGAGAATATCTTCACTCGTCCTCCACATGGCCACTGAGTGCAGCTGGGACCAGGTGCTATTCTAGAGCGGGCCAACCCATCCAGAAACAAGGACTGCGGTGGGCATGGTTGGCTTTGATATATACGGTGGTTGGGGTCAGATAAATGAGAGGCATTTTGACATTAAGATTGTAAGTATCATCCATCAGGAAGTTTGGCAAGAAGTCTGGCAGGGTGGGGTGAAGGGGGAACGACACTGACTTTCTCCCAGAGTATCCTAGGCCTGTCCTGAGGGCTGCTCTTCCGAGAACTGAAGACAAGAAGTAGCCGGTGCTGGGAGGAGCTGCCGAGTGTCAATGTAAAGTGCATGTACAATGTACAGTGTGGAGTGTAAGGAGCAAGGCTCCCACACAGGCAGATGGCTTGCATGTCTGAGAAACAAAGAAGGGGGCTAGTGGGGCTGGAGCAGGGTGAGGAAGGAGGGTGCAGGGAGGGGAGCGGGCAGGAGAGGTGGCAGGGCCCACTGCACAGCCAGAAGACCAGGTGAGCTAGGCACATCATCAAAGTACCAGGGAGCCACTGCCAGGGGGTAATGCAGGCATATTTGCTTTTTCAGATCACACTGACTAGTTAAGGGGGTAAATTTCTGTGTCTACAGCTTGTAAATTAGGACCAGACACAGAGAAGGTCCCAATAAACTTTCAGAGTTAGTTCCTAATTATGACCCAGTCTCCGACAGGAGAAGAATGTGTGGCCACAGCTTTCTGTTTAACCAAGCAGGGACATGCGTGGCCGGTTTCAGAGAAAGTGCCAAGCCAACAACGGTTATGCACCCGTGGCAGGGCAGAGAGGCTGGGGTGTGGAGGCTCGGGCTCTCCTTGGGTGAGGGGATAGACCGGGCTAATGCCCTAAGAGCCAGGCCCTTTTCTGGAGAGCCATAATATTCAAGTGTTTGTTTAAAGATCATTAACTACCTAGCCAGAGGTCAGGAGGCAGAGAAAGTTAGCAGGGTGGTGTCAAAAGCCACATCCAAGATTAATCAGAAAGAAAGATAAACCATCTCTGAGAGGTCTGGGCAGCAGTGGGAAAATAAGACTGCCCGGGATGGCATCTGAGAGTAAGTGGGGGGCACTATCCCACCCAAGGTTCCGGTGAAGCAGGCTTCAGCCAGAGCGCTCTCCTGCAGCCTGTCAGCCCGGTCCTCACCTCCTTCCAGAAAGCTCTCTAGAGCACAGCTCTGATGACAAACTCCTGCTCCAATCTATGCACTTCCTGCATCATGACATGAGGGTCTAAGGGAAGTCCCAGAGATGGGTTGGGCTGCTCAGTGGGGAGGGGAGGGAGGAGGCAGGATGGCTCAGAAGGCCCAGCTGAAAGGGTCCCAGCACTGGCCACACTCTTCCAAGGAAGCCCTCCCGAGTCAGTCCGGCTTGGCAGCACTCTGACCCACCGTGCCTGTCAGCTATCTAAGCCACAGCTAGAGGAGACTCAGCTCTGTGAACACCCCAGTCTCCTTCTCTGTGCTCTGCCTGGAATGCCTCCCCCCTGCACAGTCCCTACCTACCCCCAACACCCCACGGCCTCGTGGCCTCCTGGACGGGCTCCTCCTCCGAAGACGACAACGACCCCCCTGGCAGAGCTGCTTCTAGTCTCCTCTGATTGCTCTGAGATCTCGGACCCTGTGGAGCTACGACCCTGTTTCCCCCAAAATAAGACAGTGTCTTAATTTTTGCTCCCAAAGATGCGCTAGGTCTTATTTTCAGGGGATGTCTTATTTTTCCATGAAGAAGAATACAGTACACATTTATTGTTTATTGTTTTATTAATAGAGGAGACCTTGCACTTCCTGTCTGCTCCGGCTGCGCTGTGGCCAACAGTGAGCTGTGCGGCGGCACCTGCCGCTATGGTCCAGAGTTACGGTAGCTTTGGGGGGCCCTATTTTCCGGGAGGTCTTATTTTCGGGGGGCTGTCTTACTTATATTTCAGCGAGAGGCAAAACTGTAAGTAGGTCTTATTTTCAGGGGATGTCTTACTTTCGGGGAAACAGGGTAACAGCTGATTGCTGGCTTACTTGACCATCCCTGCCTCCATTTATTTACTAATGTAAACAACAGTATCCTAAATACCCACAGATCCATCTGCCACTCTGAGAACTAAACCTTATCAAAAATCTGCACCCCGTCCTCCATCCCTGTGCTTGTCCACACCTGCCCATAGCTGGAGGCCCCCCTGCCTCCCCACCCTCCTGCCAGTATTTGTCACTCAGCATGCCTTCCTTTTCTTTGTAGACATCTGTGTGGAGGCTTAGTACAGATGTAATACAGATGCCTAATCAATAGTTTCCTTTCCTTTATAAGATTCTGAACCAGCCACAGTACTCAAATCCTCCGTGTTGTTGCACGTGCCTGTAGCTCATTCGCTGATGATGCCACAGAGCACCCTGTGTGCGTGCACCTCACCCCACAACCAGTCTCCTGCCAGAGTGCCCTCAAACGCTGACCAGACTCCTACCTGGGGATTCTCGAGGAGACAGACTCTGGAGTAGACCGCTGGGTGAGGCTCAGCTTTGCTGGATAAAGTACCACCCATGGAGAAGAGCCCTCATCCTGACACAGCACCTCCAACATTTGGCACAGTCAGATTTCTACATTTTCTCTATCAAATGTGTGTGTCTCCCCCCCGCAAGACAGGCACTTGTGTACACACCCTGCTCACCACAGGCCCAGAAAAACACCACCCCATGTGAAGGCAGTAACTGCAGCTGATTCTGGAGAAGAAATGCCCCTCGTGGCAAAAGTCCACCTGGCAGAGCACCAAGGGGAGACTCCCGTCCTGTCCTGCCACGGCCTAAGAAAGGTTCTTGTGTTTATGAGGCTCCCTGAGAGGCTGCAGGGGCACCCCACCCCCACCCATCCAGCTGCACTCCAAGCAGGCTTTATTCAAAGCATGTTCTCCTTTCAACAGGGCTCGTGTTCGTAGGGCCGGAATTATAAAGAATGTCTTATGAGGGCACCGAGAAGAACAGAAAGACAAATAACTGTGCACATCAAGATTTTAAGGGCTGCAACAGGAAATTGTGAAGCAGATAAAGATGGAGACAGGGTGACTCGGTGCACTGCAAGGCCACTCACCCATGAGCACGCAGACGTCACCACGCGCATCTTAGCAGAGCGCCTTTTAGTGGAAGAGCCCGCTTGGGACATGCACTGCCTTTGCGTAGAGTCCATAGGTGTCCAAGCTCGGGTCTTTACAGACGCAGACTGCCACATGCTCCGGCAAAGCGGCTGGTGGGTTGGAACCACCGACCTTCCCGTTAGCAGCGTAACTCTTAACTCAGTGGTTCTCAAGCCACCCTTGAATACAGTGCCTCATGTTGTGGTGACCCCCAACCATAAAATTCTTTTCTTTTTTTAAAACATATTTTTATTGGGGGCTCTTACATCTGTTATCACAATCCATGCATTCATCCAGGGTGTCAAGCACATTTGCACATATGCCGCCATCATCCTTTTCAAAGTATTCTTTTCCCACTTGAGCCCCTAATATCTGTTCCCTGTTTCTTCCTCCTTCCCCCCCATCTGCCCTCCCTCAGGAACCCTTGATAAGTTATAGATTATTATTTTCATATCTTACATTGTTCTCCGTTGCCCCTCACCCACTTTCCATTATTCATCCCCCTGGGAGGGAGTTTTAGGTTGATCCTTGTGATCAATCCCCTGTTTCTCCCCCCACCCTCCCCTAATCCTCTTGGTATCTCTACTCTCCTTGTTGGCCCTGAGGGGTTTATCTATCCTAGATTCCCTGTGTTG